GTCTGCTATTACATTCTCACTGCCCTTCTTGTCTCTTATTTCGATATCAAATTCTTACAGAGATAGAACCCAACGAATCAATCTCGACTTTGCATCCTTCTTTGGGAGCAGATACTTCAATACAGCATGATCTGTGTAGACAATGACCTTAGACCCTACAAGATATGATCTAAACTTATCAAATGCATATAACACGGCCAAAAGCTCCTTTTTAGTAGTTGTATAATTGATTTGTGCATCATTTAGAGTTCTGTTTGCATAGTAGATCACATGGAAAACCTTGTTTCTCCGCTATCCCAATACTGCACCCACGGTGTGATCACTGGCATCATACATTAATTCAAATGGCAGTTCCCAGTCTGGTGCTACAATTATCGGTGTTGTCGTGAGTTTCTCCTTCAACGAGTTGAATGCTATGAGATATTTCTCATTAAACTCAAAGGGTACGTCTTTCATTAGCAAATTGCATAGCGGCTTAGTGATCTTTGAGAAGTCCTTTATGAATCTCCTGTAGAACCCCGCATGCTCTAAGAAACTGCGAACCCCTGTAACTGATGTAGTCGGTGGTAACTTCTCTATAACCTGAATTTTTGCCTTGTCCACCTCAATTCCTTTTGCTGAAACTCGATGTCCAAGTGCAATGCCTTCTTGCACCATAAAGTGGCATTTCTTCCAATTCAAAACCAGGTTTGTCTCCTTCCATCTCTGTAATACCAAATTCAAGTGCTCCAAACATTCATCAAATGAAGATCTATATACTGAGAAGTTGTCCATGAACACCTCAATAAACCTTTCAATCATATCGAAAAATATTGCCATCATACATCTCTGGATGCGATCGAGGCGTTACAAAGGTCAAAAGGCATCCTATAGTAAGCAAAAGTGCCATAAGGACAAGTGAAAGTGGTCCTTTCCTGATCATCTTGCGCGATTGGTATCAGATTGTAGCTCGAGTATCCGTCAAGGAAGCAATAGTGTGAATGCCCTGCCAATCTTTCCAACATCTGGTCAATAAATGGTAGTGGGAAATGATCCTTTCATGTAGCTGCATTGAGTTTGCGATAATCAATGCAAACTCTTCATCCCGTTACTGTTCTGGTAGGGATTAACTCATTCTTCTCATTTTGAACCACTGTAATTCCCCCTTTCTTTGGCACAACTTGAACTGGGCTTATTCATGCACTGTCTGAGATTGGGTAAATAATGTATACATCCAATAATTTCAGTACCTCTGCTCTGACTACTTCCTTCATGTTTGGATTCAGTCTTCTCTATTCCTCTATACTTGGCTTACTGTTCTCCTCCATGAGAATTTTGTGCATACACAAAGAAGGGCTGATCTCTTTTATGTCAGCTGTCGTCCACCCAATTGCCATCTTATTTTCCTAGAGCACCCTAAGTAATTTTTCTTCCTCCACCTCACTGACTGTGTTTGAGATAATCACTGGCAGTGTATCTGATTCCCCCAAAGTATGTATATCTTAAGTATGGGGACAGTTGCTTGAGTTCCAGAATTAGCGGTTTTCGAATGGAAAATAGTGGCTTTGTAGTTCCTATCCCCAGTTCCTCGAATTACCTCTTTCGTGTATATGGTAGGTTGGTCTCTAAGAACCTTGTGCATATTTCAATCTCAATAAAATTTGACTGGGTTGATTGGGATTGTGCTATACATGTCTCATAGGCATTGAGTGGGCTATGAAGTAAGAATGTCTCTTCTACTGCTTTGTTAATGATATCAACTTGGAAACAGCTATTTGATTCTGCTGGAAGTTCCATGGCCTTGAAGACATTGATTGATATTTGCTCCTCTCCCAATCTTAAGACCAATTGCCCTCTTTGAACATCAATCAAAGCTCTCCCTGTCGCCAAGAATGGTCTGCCGAATATTAATGGGACATCTTTGTCTTCTTC